AAAGCGCCAGGCAGGTGGCCAAAGGACATGCTGCTGGGCCGCCAAAAGCGCCGGGAAGGGGTTTAAGGGCTAGGGCGCCGGGAAAGGTTTAAGGCCAGCCCAGTGCAAAGGACATGCTGCTGGGCCGCCAAGAGCGCCGGGAAGGGGTTTAAGGGCAGCCTAGGGCGCCGGGAAGGGTTTAAGGCCAGCCCAGTGCCTAACGTCGCTTTCTGAAACCAGGAGAAAATCTCAAGGAAAGCGCCCGGCAGGTGGCCAAAGGACATGCTGCTGGGCCGCCAAGAGCGCCAGGAAGGGCGCCCGGCAGGTGGAAAATCTCAAGGAAAGCGGCCGGCAGGTGGCCAAAGGACATGCTGCTGGGTGGCCAAGAGCGCCGGGAAGGGTTTAAGGGCAGCCTAAGGCGCCGGGAGGGGTTTAAGGCCAGCCCAGTGCCTAACGTCGCTTTCTGAAACCAGGAGAAAATTTCAAGGAAAGCGCCCGGCAGGTGGCCAAAGGACATGCTGCTGGGCCGCCAAGAGCCTCGGGAAGGGGTTTAAGGGCAGCCTACGGCGCCGGGAGGGGTTTAGGGCCAGCCGAGTGCTTAAAGTCGCTTTCTGAAACCAGGAGAAAATTTCAAGGAAAGCGCCCGGCAGGTGGCCAAAGGACATGCTGCTGGGCCGCCAAGAGCGCCGGGAAGGGGTTTAAGGGCAGCCTAGGGCGCCGGGAAGGGTTTAAGGCCAGCCCAGTGCCTAACGTCGCTTTCTGAAACCAGGAGAAAATCTCAAGGAAAGCGCCCGGCAGGTGGCCAAAGGACATGCTGCTGGGCCGCCAGGAGCGCCGGGAAGGGTTTAAGGGCAGCCTCGGGCGCCGGGAGGGGTTTAAGGGAAGCCCAAAGTGCCTAACGTTGCTTTCTGAAACCAGGAGAAAATCTCAAGGAAAGCGCCCGGCAGGTGGCCAAAGGACATGCTGCTGGGCCGCCAAGAGCGCCGGGAAGGGGTTTAAGGGCAACCTAGGGTCGAGATGAACAAGTGCCGCAAGAAGGCGGACCTCCAGGAGTTCACGCGCGGTCCGCCGGCAGGGGTTTAAGGCCAGCCGAGTGCCTAACGTCGCTTTCTGAAACCAGGAGAAAATCTCAAGGAAAGCGCCAGGCAGGTGGCCAAAGGACATGCTGCTGGGCCGCCAAGAGCGCCGGGAAGGGGTTTAAGGGCAGCCTAGGGCGCCGGGAGGGGTTTCAGGCTAGCCTAGTGCCTAACGTTGCTTTCTGAAACCAGGAGAAAATCTCAAGGAAAGCGCCCGGCAGGTGGAAAATCTCAAGGAAAGCGGCCGGCAGGTGGCCAAAGGACATGCTGCTGGGCCGCCAAGAGCGCCGGGAAGGGTTTAAGGGCAGCCTAAGGCGCCGGGAGGGGTTTAAGGCCAGCCCAGTGCCTAACGTCGCTTTCTGAAACCAGGAGAAAATCTCAAGGAAAGCGGCCGGCAGGTGGCCAAAGGACATGCTGCTGGGCCGCCAAGAGCGCCGGGAAGGGGTTTAAGGGCAGCCTAGGGCGCCGGGAAGGGTTTAAGGCCAGCCCAGTGCCTAACGTCGCTTTCTGAAACCAGGAGAAAATCTCAAGGAAAGCGCCCGGCAGGTGGCCAAAGGACATGCTGCTGGGCCGCCAGGAGCGCCGGGAAGGGTTTAAGGGCAGCCTAGGGCGCCGGGAGGGGTTTAAGGCCATAACGTCGCTTCCTGAAACCAGGAGAAAATCTTGAAAGCGCCCGGCAGGTGGCCAAAGGACATGCTGCTGGGCCGCCAAGAGCGCCGGGAAGGGGTTTAAGGGCAGCCTAGGGCGCCGGAGGGGTTAAGGCCAGCCCAGTGCCTAACGTCGCTTTCTGAAACCACGAGAAAATCTCAAGGAAAGTGCGGCAGGTGGCCCAAGGACCAAAGGACATGCTGCTGGGCCGCCAAGAGCGCCGGGAAGGGGTTTAAGGGCAGCCTAGGGCGCCGGGAGGGTTGAGGGGTTTAAGGCCAGCCCAGTGCCTAACGTCGCTTTCTGGAATTAGGAGAAAATCTCAAGGAAAGCGGCCGGCAGGTGGCCAAAGGACATGCTGCTGGGCCGCCAAGAGCGCCGGGAAGGGTTTAAGGGCAGCCTAGGGCGCCGGGAGGGGTTTAAGGGCAGCTTAGTGCCTAACGTTGCTTTCTGAAACCAGGAGAAAATCTCAAGGAAAGCGCCCGGCAGGTGGCCAAAGGACATGCTGCTGGGCCGCCAAGAGCGCCGGGAAGGGGTTTAAGGGCAGCCTAGGGCGCCGGGCGGGGTTTCAGGCTAGCTTAGTGCCTAACGTTGCTTTCTGAAACCAGGAGAAAATCTCAAGGAAAGCGCCCGGCAGGTGGAAAATCTCAAGGAAAGCGGCCGGCAGGTGGCCAAAGGCCGCCAAGAGCGCCGGGAAGGGTTTAAGGGCAGCCTACTGCGCCGGGAAGGGTTTAAGGCCAGCCCAGTGCCTAACGTCGCTTTCTGAAACCAGGAGAAAATCTCAAGGAAAGCGCCCGGCAGGTGGCCAAAGGACATGCTGCTGGGCCGCCAAGAGCGCCGGGAAGGGGTTTAAGGGCAGCCTAGGGCGCCGGGAGGGGTTTAGGGCCAGCCGAGTGCTTAAAGTCGCTTTCTGAAACCAGGAGAAAATTTCAAGGAAAGCGCCCGGCAGGTGGCCAAAGGACATGCTGCTGGGCCGCCAAGAGCGCTGGGAAGGGGTTTAAGGGCAGCCTAGGGCGCTGGGAAGGGTTTAAGGCCAGCCCAGTGCCTAACGTCGCTTTTTGAAACCAGGAGAAAATCTCAAGGAAAGCGCCCGGCAGGTGGCCAAAGGACATGCTGCTGGGCCGCCAAGAGCGCCGGGAAGGGGTTTAAGGGCAGCCTAGGGCGCCGGGAGGGGTCTAAGGCCAGCCCAGTGCCTAACGTCGCTTTCTGAAACCCGGAGAAAATCTCAAGGAAAGCGGCCGGCAGGTGGCCAAAGGACATGCTGCTGGGCCGCCAAGAGCGCCGGGAAGGGTTTAAGGGCAGCCTACTGCGCCGGGAAGGGTTTAAGGCCAGCCCAGTGCCTAACGTCGCTTTCTGAAACCAGAAGAAAACAGGGGTTTAAGGGCAGCCTAGGGCGCCGGGAGGGGTTTAAGGCCAGCCCAGTGCCTAACGTCGCTTTCTGAAACCAGGAGAAAATCTCAAGGAAAGCGCCCGGCAGGTGGCCAAAGAACATGCTGCTGAAAGGCCAAAGAACATGCTGCAAAGCCACTTTTTCTCGGGCGCGCTCCCCCTGCAGATGGCTGGGGTCGGCGGATATATATATATATATATTATAAAAACACTGCAGTTGTACCTGCATGTCATGCGCAGTTTTGTCTCGAGACCAGTGATTTATCCTATGGACGCCTCGGTGAAGAAACATTTTGTGTTGTTGTGCTTTGTGCTATGGTTTTCAGCGTCGGTGTCAGCTGTCAAAGCTGGCAGCGGAGCTCTTGATGCTCCAGGGCCCGTTCTTTGGGACCCATGCATCACATCACGTGATGTGCGGAGACTGAAGGTGCAGAGCCATTACATGGCCGTTTCGGTATGTACCCAGGTGGCGAAGACCCTTGGTGTGTGGATAATTTTTTATCCACCGAATTCACAATCGAGCCCAACACGTTTCTGCCAACCTTGCCCTACAGCCTATCCTTCTCAGGCGCCTGTATCTTGTGATTCTGCTGAAGGCATGTCAACCACAATTTCCAGAAGTGACTTGAGACCGCACAGCCTGGATAGTGAACAGCAGGTGCAAAGTTGCAGAGTAGACAGTTTGGTACCACAGCAGTGCAAAGCAGTTTGTGATCTCTTGGTGAAGCTACATCCAACAGGATGGTGTTTCGATCGGCATTTTGCTGCAACCACGGGATGCATGGACCAGAAAGCTGATTGGCATCCTCCTACGGGTGCTTGCAATCTGCACAGTTTTGACGGTGCAGTTCACAATCCCAGAGATTTGTGGGCCGCACCGCGGATGACAAGCGAAAATGACAATGCTACACTCCAGTGGGCTGCGCAAGATGGGTCTGATTGCGAATCAACATGGCGTTTGGACATCAATTCTTCAAACTTGCGGGCTGTACCGCGTATGGCAAGCCAGCACGACAATTGTGCTTCCCAGCGGGCCATGCCGCATGTGCGTCAATTTGTACCATTGAGTGATCCAAGCGAAGCATCATGGAGTGAGCGCATGTTGGATCTATTTCCCTGTCGAAGATTTCTCCTGTCGAAGCAGTGTGACTCGTCAGGCCACTGAGCCAGGCCTGACAGAACACATCACTGAAGGTTCAGATTTTCAGCCTTGTAGGTCCAGACATGTGGGTATCACAAGCAGTCCCATTCACATGAACCTTGAATCAGCGCATTCCAGTCCATACTCAATCCGATTTAGTGAGGATTCTGTTTACAGTGATTGGGATAATGATGTGAGCGATTTCGCGCGCGTGCACAATACACACCTGCGCACGTGCATGTTTCCAGTACGCATGACACCACAAAGCCTGTTACTTCCATTTGGCCAAGCAATCAGCATGTTTGTTTGCGTCGGAATCACAGGAATGTCGCTGCTTAGCATCATGTGTCTTGCTGAGAGTTCATTCGCGCTTGATCGCCAGACCGTAAATGAAACCACCATGATTTCTGAGACATCTCCCAAGGGAGCCCTGAGTTTTCCAGCGCACATCCCAATGCTCATTTCCTGCATCGCTGCTGTTGCCCTGCTGTCACTAGTTTGCCACATGTTCCCTGCGCAAGGCAATGCCCTCCGAACTCCCCCATCCTGGAATCCAGATCAGGAGTATCAGTACCCATTCAGACAATGGGCCAGAAATATAATGCTTTGGAGTATTGCTACAGACCTTGAGCCTGCACGCAAAGCAGCCAGCGTGCTGCTGGTTTTGAAAGGCGCGCCAAAGGAACTGGCGCGCCAAATTCCTCCACAGGCAATTGTAGAAGGAGGTTTGGTCAATAACGTATTTGTTGATCCGTTGACATATTTAATGCATGCCCTCCAGGAAAGATTCGGAAATTTACGGGAAGAAGTCCGGGTCCAAGCGGTAACTGACCTCATGGGATTCAGCAGAAGGAACCATGAAACAATTGACTCACTCCTTGTTCGTTTTGGCTCTATTCGTGGCAGGGCGGCTGATCAGGGTGGTGCGATTTTGTCAGTGCAGGGAATCACTTGGATCCTTCTGCGAGCGATTGGCATATCAGACCCAAAACTGATTCAGCTTCTTGCGCCATTCAACGGTTTATTTCCAAGCACAGAAGCAGAATACACCCAGTTGAAGACCAACCTTCGCAGAATGGGACACATCCTTGAGAGAACCCCTGGTAATCTAAGAGATGGCCTTAGGAGCAGTCAAATCGCGTCAAGTGCTTTCCTTACGCATGATGAACCATGGAACCCAGAACCAACACAGTGGGGTGCCTGCGCTTCTGAAACCCACGGTTGGTCCGGTGAATCTGCTTTCGCCGCATCTGCTTCATGTTCATCGGTTGATGCATTTGCCACCTTCCAAGATGATGACATTGACACAGATTCCAACACGAGCTCAGGTGAATGCAGTTCTATTCCGGATGATGGCCAAGACCCAAATGCTGTGGCCCAGCGTTTGTTTTGGGCTTACAAGCAAGCCAAACACAAGTGGCGCAAGTATATGGGCAAAAGCACCCGAGCTGTTCGCCGCTATGCAAAGCGTTTTGACCGCAAGAAAGGAAAGGGAAAAGGCAAGAGTGGCAAATCTGCATTTCCTGTTGGCAAAGGCAAAGGAAAGAAGGGCAAGCACTTAATGACAGCCATGCTAGCCGAAATGACAGATGATGAAGTGCAACAAGCCTTGCCTGCGTTCCGGGGAAATCGAAGCCCTGGAAAGGGAAAGACAGATGCCAGCCTCAGAAGCGTCCAGGCCTGCCACGCCTGAACGCCTTCCCCCATTTCCCAGATTGGTTCAATATATTCACACCGCAGAACATGCCTACCCGGCAAGCCAGTGGATCCCCCGAAGGAACGCCTTTCCTGTCACCTGAAGACACTTGGGGTCAATATCCATGATGGCCTGGACAGGAAGAATCAGAACAGACAACCGTATTCCATTCCATCACCATCCCCAATCGCGCGGGCATTATCATAGATCCTGGTGCTTACACGAACCTGATCGGAGAGAACACAGCCAGAGAACTTTCCAAACTTGCAAAAGAGCATGGATTCCAGCCACGCCAGTGGCGCATGAAGCCAATGTATGTGCAAGGAGGCGAACAGAAGTGTGAATGGACAGTGTCAATCTCAATCGCATGTAAGTTGTCCATTGATGGAAAGCTTTGCTGTCTCAATTACTTTGAAGCTCCAGTTGTTGGTGGCAGCGGTGCCAGGCTCCCAGCATTGCTGGGCCTCAGGTCACTGTCTGCTTTATCAGCCACATTGAGCATGCGCGAGGGTCACGAAGCTTTGTTCATCCCTATCTCAGGCTCGACTGCCAACAATGAAGCACAGCGAAAATCATGACCATTGATCATTGGGACGCGCGTAGGACTGACTCGAGCAGCGGTGTGCAACCGGAGCCCATGGTTCTCCGCATTGATCCTGGAGGTCATGCGGAGATGGCCGAAAATGAGCCAACAAATTACAATCCGAGCTGAACACACTGCCGGTTGACCAGCCGCCAAACAAGCCATGTGCCCTAGTGTTTGAAGAAGCTCCATGTTTAGCAAGCCACTTGCAGGATCTCGGGTGGAAAGCCGTGCGCTTTTCACTGCAGCAGATCGGTGTAGGAGCCACCTCCCAGATTTCGCAAGACATCAAGCAAGGCTTATATCATTTGCTGTGGATTGATTTACCGCTTCCTGGCAGACACATATCAAAAGAACGAATGCATTCCGCCGTGTGCCAACTTAGCCGATGGCTGCAACTGGCCAGTGAAGTTGGCACTACTATGGTGCTCCAAAAAATTAGTAACTCGATTATAACCTATAGTTATATCATATCCAAGTTACTAAGTCATAACTTCTTAGCTAACTTTTGGTAACGTTTTTTTTGCTATAAAAAATTGTTTTTAAAAGTGATCAAAATTTGATCTTCTTGATGATTTTGAGTGTTTGCTGTTTGAAGCGTTTTCAACTGCTCAAAAATGCTTAATGGAGCGGTTTTCAAACCGCTAAAAACTGTTTTTGTTGGAACAGCCGTTTTCAGCATGTCAAACACTATAATTAATCACGTGTTAAAACCCAAACTGTGAATGAAGGTGTGTTCATGTCCACTAGAGAGGATGTATTGCTTGAAGAAGTGTCCAGGTGTTCACTTTACCTTGGCTAAATGCTGCAGTGTCCCTTTGACAAAACTCAATTTTTGCAGGATATCCTAGATGTCTTCAACGTAATTACAATATACATCAACATACCCATACCTGCCAACAAATGCATGCAGTATCCAAAACAGAAATGCAGCATACCCTTCTTCATAAGTGCAATCTTCCTTTGGAGCAACGCAGTGTGTTTTTGCAGAACAATATCCCTATGAAATATCAAATGTTCCTTTAAAAGATACACCATGCCCTTTGGAGGAGTACAGTGTGCATTTAACAAAATTTCCTTTGAAAGGGGTCCTCAAGGTGAAAGCGGTCCTGGCCTAGAAGCCTCCAAGATGAATTTCGACCGAGTTTTTGCCTTTGTATGAAAAACTCGGTCGAAATTAATCTTGGGGGCTTCGAGCGCATAAGGAACATTCTTGGCCAGGACCTCTTTCATCTTGGGGGCCCCTTTCAAAGGAAATCTTGTTATTTCCACATGTCTAACCTTCCTTTCAAAGGAGCAGTATCCCTTTTAGAAAAGCCAATATTGCTGCACAATATGCAGTATTTTTGACATAGAGCATCCCTTTCAAAAGTGCAATATGTTTTGAAATGTGAGATTCTTTCAGAATGTTTTTTCGCTCCTTACAACAGAGCATTGTCCTTTATGGCAACACAATCTTCCTTTGAAAAAGCAGCATTCGTGGAAACCTGGATTACTTTTCATTGATATATGTATCTAATCTACCCTAATCTGATCCAATTCCGTCCAATCCAATCCAGATATATCTCATCTATATAATCCAATCCAACCCAATCAAACCCAAACAAATCCAATCCAGTCCAGTCCAATCCAATCCAATCCAATCTATCTAATCTAGCCAAATCAAATCTAATCCAATCCAATCCTATCCAATTCAGTCCAATAATATCCAGTCAAATCCAATCTATCTAATCTAATCTAAGCTAATCCAATCTAATCTAATCCAATCCAATCTAACCTAATCTAATCTAATTTTAATCCAATCCAATCCAGTCCAATCCAACCCAACCCATCCCAAGCCAAGCCAATCCAATCCAATCTATCTAATCTAATCTAATCTAGTCTAATCTAATTCCAATCCAACCCAATCCAATCCAATCTAACCTACTCTAACCTTACCTTATCTAATGTAATTTCAATCGAATCCAATCCAACCCAATCTAATCTAATCTAATTCCAATCCAATCCAATCTTATTGAAGTGCTGTAAAGGCCTTTGTGGTATATGGGTGGGATATATTGAGATATACTAGGGGAAACAGGGGTTTACTAGGGGAAACAAGGGTTTACTTGGGGATACTACGGTATACTAGGGTATAATACCGTATACCATGGTATACTGACCATATACCATGGTATACTGACCGTATACCATATACTGACCGTATACCATGGTATACTGGTGGTATACTGGTGGTATACGGGTGTTATACTGAGGTATACTGGTGGTATACTGATGGTATACTGGTGGCAAACTGGTGGTATACTGGTACACTCCCTAGTCCAATCCAACCCAATCCAATCCAATCCAGCAACCCCATCCCATCCAATCCAATCCAATCCAACCTGATCTAATCTAATCTAAGCTAATCTAATCCAATCTAGTCTAATCTAATTCCAATCCAATCCAATCCAATTCCAATCCAACAAAACCAAATCCAATCCAATCTAATCTAATCCAATCCAACCCAACCCAATCTAATCCAACCCACTCAAATCCAATCTATCTAATCTAATCTAATCCAATCCAATCCAATCCAGTCAAATCCAATCTATCTAATCTAATCCAATCCAGTCCAATCCAACCCAATCCAAGCCAAGCCAATCCAATCCAATCTATCTAATCTAATCCAATCCAACCCAAGCCAAGCCAAGCCAAGCCAGGCCAATCCAATCTATCTAATCTAATCTAATCCAATCTAATCTAATCCAATCCCTCAGTCCCTCACCCAAGCCTGTAAAGACTTCTGTGGTATATGGGGACGTCTCAAAATGAGGCGCGCCCTTTTTGACCCCCCAAAACGCTACTTTAAAAAAAGAGGGCTCGCCTCATTTTGAGACATTCCCATATGGGTGGGATATATTGGGATGTGCTAGGGGGAACTGGGGTTTATAGTCAGCAATGTCAATATCAAAAAACATACTCATTGGCTGCCTTTGTTTTTTTCATAGTCTTCTGGCATGTTTTCAAAAATAAGTCAAAAACAAAATTGCTTAATCCATGCCCCAAGCCCCTAACCTTCCCCCAAGGATACCTGTTTTTCCTTGGTTTTTACATGGTTTCTAATGGAACCAGAGACCTAAAGCAAGCAGAAACAACCACAAACAAATTTGCAATGCCTAAGGGGGGAAGAGTGGCAAAGAGTTAGATCCTGCTACTTTTTTTGCCAGTCCCTCAAAAGAAACAACGAACCAAGAAAGCAAAACAACAAGAAACCAAAAAAAAAAACAAGATTGTACACCCCAAGGGGAGGGGGTCAGATGCAGTTTGTTGGGTCTTGTTTTTTTTGTTTCTTGTTTTTTTGTTTTTTGGTTTCTTTTTTTTTGTCTTTGTAAAAAGAAAAGAAACTGCAAAGGTGAGATTGCAAAGAGCAAACTAGCCCATTGCAGGTGCATAAAGCATCTAAAAGGGCGCGCTCCCACAGTGGCCTGTTCTGTTTAAAAACCAGTTGCACATTCCCTCAGCCATGGAAGCGATGAAAGTCGCGAATTTTTCAAACAAAAACAACTTCGAAGCGGCTCAACCGCTATAATTAGCAAACATATTGTTTTCGATATAATAAAAACAAGTGTTTTTCAATTTTTCTAAATGATAAAAATGTGACAAAATAGTTGATATTTGCTTCACTTCATAACTTTTTGTATAAATTTAGTTATAAATAATTATAACTCAAACGGAGCACCATAGTAAGGCTGGAGCTTTCGCAGCGTTCGGACAGTCCTGGAACTATGAATCTTGAAGTATTGATGCAAAGCCATGGTTTCCGTACGACATATCACAGAGCCTGCCATTTTGGTTTAAAGCTTGATTCACGACAGCAAGCCCCAAGTAAAATTTGTTTTGTGTTTCTTGGGAACCAAGATGTAAGCCCACATCCCTGCAAGTGCAAGACCCCGCAGAATGAACACGTTTTGGAAAAATGCAGGCAACTCCATTTCTAGGCGGTCCAGACTCAAACTACAGCAGGAAGTTGCTAAAGCAGTTTTGAAAAGCATGGTGAATAAGTTGACATCTGCCGCCAGTCACACAATAACCCATGACACACCCGACTGCGCCAAGCTTGACACTCAGCCGCAACATGCAGAAAGTTCTAGCTCCAACTCCAACGTGCTTTTGTCGGAACCGCCCACTCAGTGCTGCAAATGCTTCAGTAGATCCACATCCAGTCTCATGTTTTCCAACTGAGGAAAGATTGCGAACGACTGAAGAAAATGAAGGCTGCCGGAGAGAAGCCAAAAGCCCGCCAAGTCCATGTTGTGGAACTGACTTGACTGGCCTAGCACCGTTCATTAATATAGACATGACAGCACAAAGTCAGCAGATTCTCGAGAAGAAAAGCTGTATCATGCCATCCATGCGCTTGACTGCTTCGACAGCATGGAATTAAGTGAGTAATCTACCAGGCCGAGAATCTTGAGTCAGCATTGCACGTGTTGTCTTCACTGTCGTCCACATTTGACATTGTCGAAATTTGCGGCGGGTCAGCCAGAACATCCACAATGTGTGTTAGAAAGCGTCTCAAAGTTGGCAAGAACTTTGATTTAGTTACGAAGTCTGATTTGAATGACCCATACGAACAACAACTAGTCGTACAAAATTTCATTGACCATAAGCTTCTAGTGGCAGTTATGTCTCCACAGTGTCCAGCCTTCGGTTCTCACGCAAACATGAATTTTCACTTAACCCCAGCAGGTTTGGAACACAGGTGCCAGACCACTGCCAATTTTGTGGCGAGCTGGCATTGCTCCAAGAACGCAACCAACGGATTTTTCTGCTAGTGCATGCAAAGGGCAGCTGGCTGCATGAGGGGTATCCTTGGAACATTGTATGCTATTTGCCAACTGTACTGTGCATCACCATACACCACTGCATGTTGGGACTAGTAGGACCGAACAACTTGCCAGCCAAAAACAAAACAGAGTTCGTGGCAAACCATGCAAAACTTTTAGAACCTTTTGCCAATTGCCGATGCGATGGTCGTCACCCTCACGACTGCCTTGACGGTGGCAGAGCCAAGGCATGTGAGAGTTGGCCTTGGGAACTAGCCAAAAGAATTTGTGATGGAATCATTTTGCTCAACGCGCATTTGCAGACATCTTTTCCTGACACTCGCGAAGCTTTCCCAGCCGTAGGTACTGACACTTCCGAACATTCAGATGCCGCTGCAGATGAAGCATGGCGTAGGTGCCCTGGTTGTCGGGGCAGACAATCCAAGTTCGATCCCAGGCATACTGAAGCAGAGAAGAGTGCAGGTGGCCTGATGTTGAGCCAATAATATGGAAGTGTCCTGGATGTAACAAGCACAGGGCATACGGACATCCTGATCACACACGCAAGGGAGATTGCAAGCACGAAGTAATTGCGCACCGAACTGGTGTCCCAAGAAAAGGCAGACATCCTCGCTCTCCTTCAACGCCAGCCACAGCAAGTGTGTCCGCAGATTTGCAGCCCCAATTAGCAGACGGTTCAGATCTAGGAGCCGTGGATGAAACAAGAGCTAGAGGACGCGCCGCCACACATGACGGACGCGTGCCTCAGAAGCCACCGCCAGAAATCATTCGCCTCCTCAAGTACCGCTCCTGGACCAAGGCATGCAATGGCAATCCTGCTCTTGTACAGTCAGATGCATTCGAGTTTGCATTGCCACGACATGAGTGCAGAGGACATTTGTTTCGAACTACTTGGGCACTAGTGGATCAAAAGCGGTATCAACTAGAGCTAGCCATAAAATGGAACGAACTATCCGACATGTTAGTATTGCCTGGATTTGCCCAAGTATTGGTGACGATATTCCATCCGAGTAAAGACATAGATCTCACCCCGTTCATGACCACCACGACTGACCTTGTTCCATTGGACCTCCCAGACCCAAGCAAGTGTCACACGCGTGCACCAGCAGTGAGACACCGCCGAACTTTCGCTGAAGCCAGTGTTGGCACTGAACATCCTGCTGATTGGTCTAGGTTCAACGTCGGCAAGTCGTTAAAGGCTCTTAGCGTGGGAAACCCTGACACCCAAATGCGTGAACTCCGGAAATTGCATTTGCGATGGTGGCATGCGAGCAAGCAGGCCATGAGACAGGTCTTGCAATCGGCTGGGTTGCCAAACTCAGTGCTCGACAAAATTCCCCAAGTAATAGACACTTGCCGTGAATGCAGGCAATGGAGCCGGCCAGCGCATGAAACCATTCCAACATTGCGAATGACAACACGATTCAACGAACATGTGGAAGCAGATATCCTTTTCTATCGAGAGTTCGCTGTATTCCATTAATTAATTTGATTTGTTGTGCAACTCGGTGGCATGCTGCAGCTGTGATCCGGAGCAAGCAGGAAGAAGAGCTTTTGTCTGCAATGCGTAAGATTTGGTTCTCAATCCACGGGCCGATGCAGCAACTCATCATTGACGGCGAGCTTGGTGTAACAGGTCCAAGTGCACAAGCAAAGTTGAAGCGCCTTGGCGTCGCAGTCAAGGTTCGTGCACCAGGCCAACATGTACGTTTCATAGAAAGGCGAGGTGCCATCCTCCGTGTCACATTGCGCTGCATGGAAAGCCAGCTCATCCGAGAAGGCATCAAAGCGGATATGGAGTCCCTACTATCCGAGGCATTTTTTTCAGGGAGTTCATTGGTACATGTAGGCGGTGTAACACCGTATCAGTGCATATATTGAAGATCACCTGCCATGCTGCCGCCTATTCCAGACGAAGCAGGTGGCAACTATGATGAGCTTAGCCAGGAAGCTGACAAAATCAGACACCGCTTGTGCACAGTAGCCTTGGAAGCCATGATCCAAGCTACAAGCCTGGCCAGAACCGTCAGAGCCTTGCATTCACGAAGCATTGCTGCCACAGAAATCCAATACCGAAAGGGTGAGCTAGTAGATGATCACAGACCACCAAGTACCAAAAATGCTTCAGGCTGGCATGGGCCTGTTGAAGTCCTTGAATATCGCCCTGCTGAAGGGACCGTATAATCGTAAATCTCCACGGCCAGCCAAAGCCGTGTCGACTGCAAGATGTTCGGCATACCTTGTTTGCCCATATATCCTTTCAAATCTTTGTCACCATGTCTTCCAAGGAAGCTCTCTCAGTAGTGCAGTCACATGTCCACAGCATGCAGCCTCGCAAGTTCATAACCGTAGGAATCATTGCGGCCAGTGATGGCATTTTGCGCATGTCACAAGCGACCAAGAACAATGGCAGACTGCTAGCAGCACTAGATTGTTTGATAGAAAACGTTTGGTGCTTTGATGAGTGCCATGCTGTTCGGCTTCGAAAGGGTTGCAAGAATTTACCCAAAATGCCAAATGCCACACATTCCACATTGCTGTATTGAAACATATGCACATTGGGTGAGCCTTGGGTTTTTGTAGCCAGTCAGTGACTCGCAGCTTTCCCTTCTTGATGTAATCGGTGCAGAGTTTGAGAGAACAGCCTTTGTCCAATTGCTTCACAACAGTGACAGCCCCTCAGGACTCTGTGACAGCATCGACGCCGTGGCCGGTGATCAAGGCGAAGATAGCAACAGTCACGATATCATTGAAGACATCAATGCTGAACGTTTGTCCACTATTCCGGAAGGTTCCAATGAAGATCAAGACAGTGAAGCTGCAGAAGCCAATTTCGTTTCATTTGCATCTGCGCATTTTTCAGCTCCAAATAGCCAGGAAGAGCAGGATGCTATCCGAGAACTGTGGACGTTGTACCAAGACACAGTACAACAACCAGAAGATCAAGAGCCAGTCGAACTGCACATGTTGTATATCCCTCCGGAAGATAGTTTATATGAACCCCAAATCTATTCCAGTCCTCATAGTCCTCCCAGATTGTATCCTGATGAGCCCAATATAATTGAATGGTTAGTCCTCCCTGAAATAAGTAGTTGCTTTGGTGATTCCAGCATGCTACAACGATGAAATGTATGCGAACAGAATTTATAACACTGTAAGCAAAACGGAGGTTATCAAAAGGGGGGCAGATTTGCTGACCAGAGAAGAGTTAATCAAGCACAAGCCGAAGGTCGATGAAGCTATCCTTGAAGAATTTCGAGTTTGGAACAGCTATGATTGTTTTAAGATGGTTCCCCGAAAAGGTGCTGAACATATTATTGATTCCAGGTCTGTTGCTAAATGGAAAGTAAAACACCCAAATAGACCCTATGAAAGTAGAGTTGTGAGAATGGCCCTCAGAGGTTTTAAAGAATGGTGGGCAGAATCCTTGGACACATATGCGGCGACAGGGAGCAAACTGTCACAAAGATTGCTTCTGTCCGAATGTGCATGTAATCCAGAGTGGTCTTTCTTGTCATTAGACATTAACAAAGCCTTCCTACAAGGCGTGACCTATCCAGAGTTGGCTGCCGCAACACGGCAGGAAGAGAGAGTTGCCCATTTCACAGTCCCCCCAGGTTCAGCGCAGTTCCTTTGCATGGTTCCAGGGTATGAAAATTATGACGAGCGTTTTCATGTGCTAAGATGCTTGCGTCCCGGCACAGGCTGCAAAGATGCCCCTCGGGCATTTAGGCATTTAACATGAAATTAGCCAAAGTAACCCGTCATCCCACAGTAGGACTACAGCCCCTATCGTCAGACCCAGAATGTGAAGTCAAGCATAGACATGGACGGCTTGTTTTAATTCTTGTAAAACATGTGGACGATATCAAAATAGCAGGTGAAGAAGCTGAAGTTCAAATACTCTTAAAAGCTTTGGAGCAGACCTTTGGACGCAGTGATAGAAACAATAACAATTTCACCTGCGTTGGGATTCACCACACACGTAGTCCTGATGGAACCATCACTCTCGACCAGCATGAATACATCAGCGCACTAAAACCTATATGCCACCCAGAAATAGTTGGTAACCTCTAGATGAGCCATGTCCAGAAGTTGCCATGAGATTGTTTTGGTCGTTGTTGGGTGCAGTTGCGTATACCCTGCTAACACAGCATTGGATAGCTATATGCGTGATAGCTTTGCAACGCCAGACGCACAAACCCAAGTACCAGCACATCAGAAAACTCAACGCGCTAGTTAAAGTCCTCCAAAATCAAAAAGCCGTAGTTGTGTATCCCGCCATGCAGTGCTCCAAGTGTATCATCGCATTTTCCGACGCTTCCTTTTGTAAGGAATCGGAGACCAAAGGTTATGGTGTTCGGGGTGCTGTATTTGTCAGATGTGGGATAGATAAGGGGAAAGAATGTTGTCACCTCATTGATGCTACGAGTCAGAGCCTTAAACTAGTGACTACAAGTATTTTCAGCTCAGAGACATTAGCAGCAGTAGGAACAGCCGATGCCCTTATTCCTTTGGTAATTTCAATGATTGAAATGTTGTTTGGCGTGATGACACCAGATCAACTTCGCGCCTTTCGTGAATGCTCTGATGTAGAACTGAAAGTATTCATGGTAATCGACGCGTTAAACCTTTTTCATGCTTGGACAGGCACATCATTGAAACTGCCAGCGGAAAAATCCCTGTTTCCACATATTGCCTGGTTAAGAGATGTCGTGGGATGTGCTCCAACACATGTCGCTTGGTACGATACCAGAGATTTGCTGTCAGATTGTATGACAAAAGGGACAATTCCCAGGGAACCTCTCCTAAATGCTATGTCCGGCCACTTTCAGTTTCAGCATGCTTTGAAGGAACACAAGTTCCCACGTGTTGTTGAGCACCACTGAGCACACCCGTACGCACAGCACATGCGCGCGTGTATTCTCATTGACATATCCACAGCAATAATCCCATGAGCACACCCGACTGCAATGGTACCTGCATGTCATGCGTAGTCTTGTCTCGAGACCAGTGATTTATCCTATTGCCGCCTCGGTGAAGAAACATTTTTTGTTGCTGTGCTTTGTGCTATGGTTTTCAGCGTCGGTGTCAGCTGTCAAAGCTATACAGTATATATATATATATATTATCATATATGAATATGTATATATATCTTTAATTAGTATATCTTCAAAATACCTTGTGTTTACCACGTGTTTGCTTTTAATACACCTTGAATTTACAATCTAGTAGCCGTTAATATTCCCATTTATATATCAGCGAGAGAGAGATATATATATATATATATATAACGGGTAAATATCATTAAACATGTCGTTTACTACACCTTTAATACTTCTTGAAGGTATTTACCGAATTATATACCTTAAAGATACCATTTAACTGACCTTGAAAATACCTCTATACCTCTAACATACCTTTTATTTATGGATCCAGGAAAGTGTGCAAAGTTTGCAATTTTTGGGGATTCAAGATTCAAGATTCTGGGAAAAACTTCTTGAATCCAAGCGCTGACTGACATGGGGCCCTGGATGACAGTCAAGGCCTGGATTCAAGAAGTTTCCCTCAGAATCTTGAAGCTTGAATCCAGGAAAGTTTGCAAAGTTTGCAAACTTTTTGAATTCAAGATTCAAGATTGTGAGAAGAACTTCTTGAATCCAAGCATGACAGTCAAGGCCTGGATTCAAGAAGTTTCTCCCAGAATCTTGAATCTTGAATCCAGGAAAGTTTGCAAAGTTTGCGAATTTTTGGGATTCAAGATTCAAGATTCTGGGAAAAACTTCTTGAATCATGGGGCCCTGGATGACAGTCAAGGCCTGGATCCAGGAAGTTTCTCCCAGAATCTTGAATCTTGAATCCAGGAAAGTTTGCAAAGCTTGCAATTTTTTGGGATTCAAAATTCAAGATTCAAGATTGTGGGATAACTTCTTGAATCCAAGCGCTGACTGGCATGGGGCCCTGGATGACAGTCAAGGCCTGGATTCAAAAAGTTTCCCTCAGAATCTTGAATCTTGAACCCAGGAAAGTTTGCAAAGTTTGCAAAATTTTGGGATGTGTCTGCGTGTGTGCGTTTTTATGTGTTTGCCACTTTTTGTTGATTCAACGCATATGCCTGTGTATATGTAAACGTGTTTATCTCTAGATATATATATATATGTGGTCACCCCTTTCAATTAACTGCTCGATTATCATCCCAAACCATAAGATATTAAAAAGGTAGGTCGAAAATGGTAGATCTTTGGGGGGGGGTACTATATATATATATATACACCCGCATCCTTGCGCAGGACTCTTTTTCAGCCTGAAGCTGTTCAGCCTAAAATTCTAATATTTCAGCCCGGGCAGGGCTTTCAGCCTGCAGGTGTTTTTTCTGCCCGAATCAGTTTTGTTGACTTTTGGGGCTGTGAACAAGTGGGGTTGACCCTAATGAAATATACCCAAGTGGAATCATTTTACATAACCATTTTTCCGTTTTGAAATGTTTGATTGAGTTTCTTTATGTCTGTGGTCTTCCCACCCGAAATCTCTAAAACTGCTCGAATATGGAAATCAGCCCGCAGGCCGTTTTTTTCCCCGAAACCCGATTCAGCTTAAAATTCTGTTTCAGGCTGAAATTATAGCCCGCTTGAGGTTCTAGGTGTAACCGTAGATATAGGGGCGCCACATCCCAAGTTGTCGCAGTTATTTCCCCATGGTTTTCCTCATAAAAGTCACTTCCACATTTTCGAGGTCATGAAACGGCACCGGCCCAGAGCCAGCAGATCGAAGCGACCTTCGTTCCTGTGGGCGCAGGTGGGAGGATGACCCCCATATCTTCCATAGCCATGGGATCCCCAATAGCTGGATGGTTTAGTTCATGGAAAATCCGTTTTGAAAAATGTATGATTTAGGGATACTATAACCATATAATCCCCGGATATCCCCAGACTAATCATCGACCAATGTTGGGTTGTTGCACAGCGCCAAACAAAATGGAAACTGCTTAAAGTTTGAAGATCATGGAAGAGAGGCCGCTGAAGGATACATCTGGGATCTACTGAGAGGATGCACACCGATGGCACGATATTTCCTGGTGATATACATCTCTACCTGACAAAGCTGTAGCCTATTTCCAAATACCCGCATGTATCCCACATGATATCCCCATAAAAGTGTTTTAAATCCTGATGCAGGATCAGGAGTCCCTGATTTCCAGGGGCGCTTCCTATCCCTTGAACGGGTCAAAAGCCTCCGCAGGGCGACCATTGACTGCAGCATTGCTGGCAGCGTTGCAGGAGCGCGTTTTTTGGGTCGGGGGAAGCTGACCAGAAGTCACACAGCTATGGTATAGATGGCCCATTTACAGACGCTTTACCAATGATGACTTTCCGTAGTTTCCATCGTTTTTTACATGGTGGTGCCCCGAAACCTTATGTTTGATGGTTTTTAGAGCCCAATAGCTGTAGTTCTACATGCACACACACACACATATATATATATATATATGTACACACATTTCTATATGCACCCTAAACCATAAAATTCAGCTCATGAACTTAACCAACTTGCAATCTTGCAGTAGCTATCGTTTGGGGGGGCCACCTTGTGGACACACACACACACACGAGACGAACATACGGATATGTTAATGGACGTTAGTGGGATACAATCAAACAAATCAAACATGTGATATGTGATTGTGTCTGAACATGGGGCATATACCTCCCAACAAAACCATTAAGTCATATGGACCATTGGCTTTTAATAGCTTTTACACCATGGGATTTGACGGTGTACATTGATCACTATGCCAATGCTACTGCTGGAAGCCGTTCACTTCAATGATGTTGGGTTAATTCAATTTAATTTATACATCCTTTTTGAGATTGAATTGGGAGATTATCCAGCTAAGATTAAAGTAACTAAGTAGGGAACCAACAAACCACCAACAAAAAAATATTCTTACCGGTTTAGAAGTTTAGCTTCTTGAATGTGTGCGGCGTCTTGCCTCGCAGATTCTCCATCAGAGGGATCTCACCTGCCCAAATAGTAACAACTTCTGCAATGAGAGATGATAAGGGGTCAGTCTTCAACAAGAACAATTGAAACAGTGGAAACAAAAAACGCAATGCACATTGAATAGTAGAATCGTACTTATACTTTCTTACACTGTGCATGTGTTGCCATTTAACTTTAAAATCACGGAGTGCATGCTTCCATCTCGCCATCGGCCGGTTGCAAGGACCATGGGAATGACACATGTCACTCAAGATTTGCTTTAGCAGGGTTTAGCTGCTTTTTGCTGTTTGTCTTCCCGAAATGGACCGCGCAGGGGAACATCTACCCACTATCTATATACCCGCTTTAAAAGTCTTGTCAGAAAGTTGGAGCACATGGGGCACATGTACATACATGCGCAATATATGTATGCATATATATAAATCTACATACATATATATATATATATATGTATACATGTGCATACATTATATATCATGCGTATATATTTCGATATTTACATATATAGTGGGATACGAAAAATCACGACGGGTCGATATGATGATGGGGGCGACGGCACGGCGACAATGTGCCGACGGCCTGACGACGATAGCTCGGCAGCACGACGACGATGTGCCGACGGCACGATGGCGATAGACCGACGGCATGACGACTGCTTTCGACGACGACATGACGACGATGCGACGACACAGCGCGACGACCGTCACAAGCCCGGGCTTGACATGTCATAGCCCGGGTTCGGCGCCGAACCCAGGCTTATGACATGTCATAAGCTGGGGTTGGATGCCGAACCCGGGCTTACGATGGTCGTCGCTCCGTCGTCGCACCGTGGTGGCCTCGTCGTCATGTCGTCGTCATGCCGTCGTCATGCCGTCGGTCTATCGTCGTCGTGCTGTCGGCACATCGTCGTCAGGTCGTCGTCATGGTCATAGGGCCCGAAATATCGTCAAAAGCCTCCCGTCGTGGAACTCCTGCTTCCACTAGAAAACTTGCTTGGCATGTATTTAGAGTTTAGCTGATTATATATATATATATTCATTTACTTTTTAATGTTTAATTTTATATGCATATGTGTGTGTATATATTTACAGTTATAGAATATGTATATGTGTACTGTACAATAACGCGTCTACTTTTCTATTGGTTTCGGATATTGCAAACATTGCTATGTTTGGTTGGGTCCCGTGTGTTTTTGTCTTGCCAGCTCCTTTCTTGGTCGTCAAATCCAAGGTAATCCGTGCGTATTCTTCAACTCTGCACAGGGCTGTCGCCACGAACGCATGTGTGCATACTGTGCCTTGTGCTGAGTCGGCCTTGCATGTTGGAAGGGAAGGACGCCAAGTTAGGCACTGAATTTATGTATGATCCCCGTTGAAATTTCCCCTATGAAATGGCTGGTCTCAAGGCCCATATAAGCCCGATTTCTAGGGTCATTTTTTAGGAAATCACTTTCCAGATCCCAGCCTGCCAGCACCTTGCCATATTGTAAGAGCAATAAAAATAGATATTTAAGCAGAAAGTCGCTATCATATAGACATGTCAAAATCCAGTTTGAAAACTTGGCTGGGTTGGGGCCATGCATTTTGTAAGGAATCCCTTTGTTGATTTTAGTGGTCATTTTGTAGGCAGTTGTTGCTATTCTTGGAAACCGAGCTGCGCGCCGAATTCCGCATAGATTTTGGCTGTTGCATCAAAGCCCCCTGTTAGCGCTTTATCTCTTTTGAGCCTTTTGCATTATTCTTATTCATTCCTTCAAAGTACGTTTCCGGCCCTCAGGAATTTCCATTTGGGTCTATGGGCAGTTCCATTTTGGAACTTGTTCAGTTTTCGAGGCGCCATAAAAATCTGTGACGACCTGCTCTTGAAACTTAGTGGCTTTGCATGGCTTTGCACCTGTCATACATACCCAGGCTCAACAATGTAGGATGGCTTAGGACCAAAGATCGATACAGCGATGAGTACGGGAAGCTGTGTCGACCAAAACGGGAAGTGAAACTTGGAAAATAGAATTGCTGGGTTGCAAAATGCAAGGGTTTTTCATTTTCATGGCAGCATGATAAATCACGAAAGTCCATGTGATCAGGTGCGCAGCAGTTGGAGGAACGCATGGAACTGGAACCTTAGTCCCTGCCATTTTGTATGGGAAAATGTTTCAATAGCCTATGTATGTGTAGAATGACGATAGGTGAGGCAACCTGCATCTTTTTGCCCAAGAGTTGTGTTGGAAAGCCAGGCTGATTCGGAACAGTGGCATGGCGGTTGATTTTGAGATACGCGACCTTACTAGCATGTCCTTTGAAAGGTCTTGAAATGCACCTCAAAGGGTCAGACCCCCCTTCTTGGATAGGTATAAACCTGGGAGATACGCCAAAAGCCTACAGAATGAGTAGGGGCAAGTAAAAGCAAATCCATACTTTGCCCAGATTTTTGAAATCTCTTTTATTCCGAATATGAGCCTTTCTTGCTTTCCTGGACCCTGTGGCTCAAAAACGGCAAAATTTGGTGGGAACCTGCTGCCCTGCGTTTTCCTCACTCAGCTTCCCTGCGTTTTTCTCACTCAGCCCTCAATTGTCTTTAAGGAGCAGCCCATCCTTTTTGTAAGGCCCACTATGACTCACTGATATTAGCTGCCCTTTTTTACAATGTAGAAGCGTTCATACCCACCCATTTTGCCCAAGAGTTGTTTTGGGAAGTTAGGCTAACTTGGCAGCAAAGACAATTGAGGGCAGGTTCCTACAAAATGATGGTTTTTTTTTGGGCCGCAGGGTCCGAGCAGGCAAGCAAGGCTCATGTTCGAAACAAGAGAGCAATCAAACATCTGGGCAAACTATACCTCCCTACAACACGTCGAGTGGAGCAAAAGTTCGTTGATGAACGTGACCCCACCATTTTGTATGTTTGTTTTCTTGCATCCATTCATTCTGTAGGCATTTTGCAAGGGCCTTCGGTTTTATAGCTATAAGAAGTGGGCCTTGACCCCTTAGGATGAATTTCAAGGGGGATGGACAAGTAAAGATTTCTCCATACAAAATGGTACGGTTTTGTTCAGGTGCTGCTCTGCCACTTCCCTGCGTTTTAAGACTCAGCCCACAATTGTCTATAAGGAGCAACTCATTTGTAAGGAAATGGGCTCAGTTAACTTTGCGGCCTGTCTTTTAACAATGTAGACACAAAGTGAAGCGTTCATTCAAGAGCTGTGTTGAAAAGTCAGGCTGACACGGACAAGTGGCATGGCGTTGCATTTTGAGATTTTAGTAGTTGCAACTCTGCTGCTGCTTCCACCAAGGCGTTGCATGCCAAGCAGCATTTACGAAACTAATTACGAAGATCTCAAAATGCAACGCCATGCCACTTGTCCGTGTCAGCCTGGCTTTTCAACACAACTCTTGGGCAAAAGAAGAAGGGATAGAACGGGTATGAACGCTTCACTTTTTGTCAGCATTGTAAAACAGACAGGCTGCAAATAGCATTGAGCCCATTTCCTTACAAAAAGGATGGGTTGCTCCTTAAAGACAATTGAGAAAAACGCAGGGAAATGGCAGAGCAACAGGTTCTTACAAAATGATGCCTTTTTTGGGGAGCAGGGTCGGAGCATGCAAGCAAGACTCATACTCAGAAAAAGATAGAAATCAAACATCCGGGCAAAATATACGGTCTCCCTACAAAATGTGGGTGCTGCAAAGAGCTGGTTGATGCACAAGCCCTCCCATTTTGTGTGGAGAAATGTTTACTTGCACCCATTCATTTTGCAGGCTTTTTGCAAGTCCCCGCGCTTTATAGCTACAAGAAGCGGGGCTGACCCCTTGGGGTGAATTTCAAGGGGGATATTTATGGCATATCATTGCCCAAAATGACCCATTCATGCACGTAAATAGACCATAGATGAAGCATACCAAATTGAATCAGCCGGGAAATAAGCTGGCTAGGCTAGTGAATCAATGTGGAGGTTGCTCTAGAGACCATTGCAGTGTTCTCCCAATCAAGACATACGTTTTCAATTCAAGTAATGTGAGATTCACGACAATCACACAGTTATTTGTACAATGCCATGCGCTAAACCCTCGCCTCTATGTTGCTTCTGCTGACTACTCGCCCTACTGCTGGTTAAAAAAGCCTTTGCTGAGCTGTTGGGCTTTGTGCTTGAGACCCAATTTGTGATCTACTACTGGGTACACCCCTACTTGGGATGATTTATAGTAACTCACGAATGGTTGATACAAATCAGGGGTGGTTTATTTGTGTTGATCGCAGTGTAGATGAAGCGAACATTTTCTCCACAATTTTCGAAGTCACTTCGGTCAACTGCCACAAGAAAACCTGGAGCTTCACGGTTCTCAGCAATAGAGCCCTATTATGCTCATCACCATCAGGATTTTGGTTTGTTCTGAACCTCCTGGTATTTGTATGTATTTGTGTAAGCCTTGGTTAGGTCGCTTTCATGTTTCATGATACATATGTTGGCATCTAACCAGCAAACCCGTTCATGTTTTCAACATCTATATGATTTTGGCAGGGGCCCATCTAAGATTGGCCATGTCTCTCGGCTCGGCAGTCGAACCAAGGTCATTTGGAGCACCCCAAAATCAGCGTCTCAGCAGCCATGAGTTCAGGTCACCCCAGATGGCTGCGGGCATACCAAGCATTTCAATGAGTTTTCTGCGGAGCTAGATTGATTAATGAGTTACTGGGGTATGAATGGTAGATATCACGAACAGCATCACATGTCTGCAAACGGTGATATTTATGGCTGCGTCTGAATTCTCATGTCTGTCAGTTCTGGGCAAAGGATGATCGAACAATGGATTGAGGGGCACCAATGTCATGTTTTGCCATAAATCAGAGTAGCACTGTTCAGATCCCCTGGAAGATGCACCGCCCAGGCCAGCCGCGTCCTCGCAAGGTGACACGAGATAAGATCAAGACACGAAGCCTGGCCAAATTGCTTGCTGATGTTGGGGGATGTTCATGGATGGTCATCAAATGTCATTAGATATTGTAACATGATGCAACCACTGGTCCGGGAGTCCCATATGAGATGGATGACCATGCCACATTTGCCATCGTTTGACCATGGCACATATTTCTATATATATATATACATACAATGCAAATGCGTATGTGCATCTTCAGGAATTGGTACAAGTGCATCATCAAAAAGCCTGATCCAACCTGCGAACCCAAATGCATATCATGCAAACACAAATAGATACACTCATTCGGTAACAATATGGGCAAAAGTTGTGGAACGTGAAGTGATGTGCGCTGAAGGTGGGATTTTCTTTCGGAACCCCCTACCACCCTTGTTGCCTTGGGGACCACGCCACTATCCCTGATTGCCACACTGCGAGCTGCTCACCATCCCTACTGAATCACAAGTCACTTTGACACGCAAAAACAACACCATGCCCAATATTTATATTTATATATAAATATTATTTTTGATTTGATATTATAGTATATTATAGTACGATGTATTTTGAGATACCACATCATATTACATTATAATACATTTTTTAAATATATAACGCTAAAAAAATATAATTATAATAAATTTTAATATATTGTATTTCATTTATATTTATATTATGTATTTTTAATACCATATAATATAATATCTATATTCTATTTATTTTAATTTGTTATAGTATGTTCAAACTATATTTTATTAAATATCATTATATCATACGTTTTTATATTTTATTATTATATTATAGTGTATTATGTTATTTTTATATTTTTGATTTATGATAGATTATATTGTATTTGTTTATCATACTTTTTTAAATTGAATATTTTGTATATTTCGAACTTTTCTACTCTGTTTTCATACATATATATATATATATATCATATTTATTTCTTATATATATATGTATTGTATATTTATTAAATTATACTATTTACATTCTTTTTTAAATTTACATATGATCATATATATATATATATGTGTTATCTGTTTTATTTGTATTATTTTACATATATATATTGTATATATATATATATATATTATGAGTTTATTTATTGTTGATAATATATATATATATATATATTCCATATTTTAAATAGGGCACATATTCTCTAAATTATTTGTTAAATGTTTTATTTTATTAATAGTTAATTTATATATATATATATATATTATGTTACCAATATTTTGAGTAATGTATATATATATATATTATAGTAAAAAATATATTTTAAATCTTTTATATATGATATATAAATATTATATATTAGTTAATTGTATTTATATATATATATAAAACTGTTATTTTTTTATCTATATAATCTAATATATATATATATTATGTAGAATTTTATATATATATATTAATTAAATAGATATATTTTTTAATGATATATATATATTATACTACTTGTGTGATGACACGCTCCTATCCCAGTAACAAGCGAGGACCACGCCGCAACTACCGCTGTTTCACGTGCAGATACTACTTCGCCATTCATTTCAACACTGTCAACAAAATTAGCAAAGCCATCCAGTCATCATTCGCCAACAAAAAATTAATTACACAACAACGAGGCCATCAAACGATACACGGGTCCAAACCACAACACCCCTGTTTCCTAAAGACCGCACTTTTGTCTTTAAGCTACACACTCCACACTCCACATTTTGCAGTCTACATTCCGCACTCCACTCTAGACCCTATACACTCTCTGCACTCCGTAGTCCACACACTACACTGCACTGTCCACATTCTAAACTCTCCACTGCTTCTTCAGCAGATGCTGCGCCTGCCACGAAGAATGGCACTCTGACGATGTACTGCGGCCTGCCAATTATATATACTACCCTTTGCAACCACTCGCGGCATGCGATTCGCAAAAAACACCCAAAACCCCTGTGTCTAAACTCATTTTCAGAAGCCAGTTCAAAAGCATTGCGCCTGTCACGCAAAACCATTTGCGACACTTTGTCACATACGTCGGAATGTCAGAAAGTGCCACGCATGCCACACGAAACGAGGTTACAACCTCTTTTGAAACAGTCAAAAACGAGAAGGTTTGCAGCTTTCTCCATGGGCACGGAAACCTCACAACAAAGCAAGATAAGGTAGCAACATGTAGGAAGCTCAAACGAGCATTCATGCGAGACGTCCTCAAATTCAGATTTCGTAGCTAAAAAACGACGCAGTCCTCCGAGTTTTCCCACGAACCCAAAATTCGCGACTTCAAACTCATTAAGAATCTGCATGTGCAATATGAGTCTATATTTTGCGCCAATGTGCAACGGCAGTGCAACGGACATCTCCAAAGATTCCACAGTTCGTGCCTCCCACAAGAAACCTCAGTCATCTTCAGAAGACTGTCCAAAGCATTGCGCCTGGCACGCAAAAACCGCTTGGGGTAACGTCAGGAAGTGCCAGGAGTGCCACACAGAACGAAGTTGCACGCTTTTCCAAACCTCTAAAATTGTGCTGTCGAATTGCGCTTGTTCTAGAATATTTTCAATTTGAAAAAAGTGCAGAAACAATGCAAAAAAATGGGACTGATAAATGCAACTCAGAGAAAGGCAAAAATGACAAATGCAAGTTTGAGAAAGGCAAACATGACAATTGCAAAACAAATGGAATTGAAAAATGCAAGTTTCAGAAAGGCGAAACTAACAATTGCAAAACAAATGCGTTGAACAATGTAAGTCTGAGAGAGGACACAGTAGCAAATGAAGACAACCTGGAAAGAGGCACAGGTGACAAATGGAGAACAATTGGAAAGAACAAGGGCAAGTTGGAAGAAGACACACACAACGTGTGGAAAAACATTGCAAGAAATGCAACCTGGGAAAAGGGAACAGGCCACATGCAGCACAAATCGAAACAACAAATCAGCTTGGACAGGGTAGTAAAGCCTGCACAAAGGACTAGGGAAACATGAAATTTTAAAAGGGAATGAGCAGTACCAACAAGAATTAAGAAGTATGCCAACCCACAACAAAGGAACCTCAGTGCATTGCGCGGTTACGTCGTGGAGCTGGCGTGCAGCTGGTCCGGCAGTGAGAGATCTGGCTCACTCCAAAAACCCCGCCTTTTACACAAGACATGCGCAAAGCACAGTTCTCGAGCAAGGGGGTTTGAAGTGAGGAAGACCAGAGCGCGCAATCTAGAGACTTGTGAAGGGGAAGGGAAGGGAGGGGAAGGGAGGGGAAGGGAGGGGAAGGGGAAGGGAAGGGAGGGGAAGGAAGGGAAGGGAGGGGAAGGGGGGGAAGGGAGGGGAAGGGGGAAGGGAGGGGAAGCAGCCGACCGGGGAGGTCCCCGATCCAAATTGGGGACCTTCAATTTGGGATACTTCTGTGTCAAAAATCACAAAAAAATTGAGGAAAAAAGCAAACAAATTACTTTACTTCGTGTGATCCCCACCATGACATTTATACATTTTCTTACTGGCAAATCTTCTGGCATTCTATCTGACATATCTTCTGACATTCTATTTGGCATTCTATCTGGCATATTTTTTGGCATTCTATCTGGCAAATCTTCTGGCATTCTATCTGGCAAATCTTCTGGCATTCTATCTGGCATATCTTCTGGCATTCTATCTGACACATCTTCTGGCATTCTATCTGGCATTCTATCTGGCATATCTTCTGGCATATATTCTGACATATCTCCTGGCATTCTATCTGGCAATCTATTTGGCATTCTATCTGGCATCTGGCATATCTATCTGGCATATCTTCTGGCATATTTTCTGGCATTCTATCTGGCAAATCTTCTGGCATTTTATCTGGCATATCTTCTGGCATATTATCTGGCATTCTATCTGGCATATCTTCTGGCATATATTTTGACATATCTTCTGACATTCTATCTGGCATTCTATCTGGCATTCTATCTGGCATTCTATTTGGCATTCTATCTGGCATATCTTCTGGCATATCTATCTGGCATATTTTCTGGCATTCCATCTGGCATATCTTCTGGCATTCTATCTGGCCGTTGAGGTCCGGCAGTGCCCACTGGGATCTGGAGCTCGTGGTTGAGGCCCGGCAGTGCCCACTGCGACCTGGAAGTCGCGGTTGAGGTCCGGCAGTGCCCACTGCGATCTGGAAGTCGCGGTTGAGGTCCGGCAGTGCCCGCTGCGACCTGGAAGTCGCGGTTGAGGTCCGGCAGTGCCCACTGCGACCGCGGTTGAGGTCCGGCAGTGCCCACTGGGATCTGGAGCTCGCGGTGGAGGTCCGGCTGTGCCCATGGGATCTGGAGCTCGCGGTGGAGGTCCGGCTGTGCCCACTGGGATCTGGACTGCGAGGAGGAGGCGGCGGAGGAGGCGGAGGTGGAGGCGGACGAGGCGGAGGAGGCGGAGGAGGAGGAGGAGAACAGCTCTGATAAAATCTAACAGCCCTCACCTGGCAGGTGGGGAAAAAGCAAAAAAAACAAATACTTCACTTCGAATGATCCCCACCATGACATTGATACATTTTCTTACTGGCAAATCTTCTGGCATTCTATCTGACATATCTTCTAGCATTCTATCTGGCATTCTATCTGGCAAATCTTCGGGCATTCTATCTGGCAAATCTTCTGGCATTCTATCTGGCATATCTTCTGGCATTCTATCTGACATATCTTCTGGCATTCTATCTGACATTCTATCTGTTATATCTTCTGGCATATATTCTGACATATCTTCTGGCATTCTCTCTGGCATTCTATCTGGCAAATCTTCTGGCATTCTATCTGGCAAATCTTCTGGCATTCTATCTGGCATATCTTCTGGCATTCTATCTGACATATCTTCTGGCATTCTATCTGGCATTCTATCTGGCATATCTTCTGGCATATATTCTGACATATCTTCTGGCATTCTATCTGGCATTCTATCTGGCATTCTATTTGGCATTCTATCTGGCATCTGGCATATCTTCTGGCATTCTATCTGACATTCCATCTGGCATATCTTCTGGCATTCTATGTGGCCGTTGAGGTCCGGCAGTGCCCACTGGGATCTGGAGCTCGTAGTTGAGGCCCGGCAGTGCCCACTGCGACCTGGAAGTCGCGGTTGAGGTCCGGCAGTGCCCACTGCAATCTGGAAGTCGCGGTTGAGGCCCGGCAGTGCCCACTGCAACCTGGAAGTCGCGGTTGAGGTCCGGCAGTGCCCACTGGGATCTTGAGCTCGCGGTGGAGGTCCGGCAGTGCCCCCTGCAATCTGGCGCTCGCGGTGGAGGTCCGGCTGTGCCCACTGCGATCTGGACTGCGAGGAGGAGGAGGCGGAGGAGATGGAGGAGGAGGATGCGGAGGCGGAGGAGGAGAACAGCTCTGATAAAATCTAACAACCCTCACCTGGCAGGTGGGGAAAAAAGCAAAAAAAGCAAAAGAAAAGCAAACAAAAGCAAAAGGAATGGACCTGAAGGAGGGTCACTGCCCAGGAAATGGGCACCCCTTTTCCCGACTAGGAGCCTCTCGGCCTTAGGCTGGGGGCTGGTCCAACCGCCGGGCCTGGCCTGAAAACATCTTTGCTCATCCGTCCATCCACAAAAAAGCTGATACAGGAGCAGGGATTCATACCAAACTGAAGCTCATGTTCGCTGTTCGCTGTTTGCGCATATTGCATGTGAGGCAATCCCATGAATTGGAATGTGTGATATGTTTTGTTGCCCTTGTTTAAAGGGCACTTGTGTATGTATACCGCTAATTATCATGCGGTCAAGAAACAAGACCATGAATTCGTTCAGGCAGGGAGAGGTACCACCATTACAAGCCTACTGCCACTGAAGACACTTGCAATCGGTGGTGCTACCGGGTCAGATCAGTTTGGCGTACCTGCGCTTGGCTAGTTGAACTGTTGAACTGTTGTGAATCTCAGGCGGCTTCAGGTTTACCAGGCCTGAATGAAAGGTTTCACTGATGCACGATCACTGTCTGGATTTTGGCTTAGGTAACCTCAAGGGGAAGACAAACTCATCATGCTAACGCTCCAACTACGGAGTAAGTCATTTACTTAATGCGCAGTGTCTGCGTGTGTATGTGTCTCTCTCTCTCTCTCTCTCTCTCGCTCTCGCTCTCTCTTGTTTGGTGCGCTGCAAAGACCGCTGATTGGCAATGCTCATGCTTTGCTTTGCTTATCATTTTCGACGTTTACTTTGCTTGGTCCTACCTCTTGCATGTTACATGGCGTCCAGATTTTTTTTTGTTTGCAGTTTTGACGTCCACTTTTTTGGTGTGCGCCTGCATTTTCTGCATTCTTGATTTGCATTGTTTTGCGTTGTGTTTCTGCACTTGTTTTTTTTGCATTGTTCATGTGTTTTTTTTGCGCTGTGTTTTTGCCCTTTCATTTTTTGCATTTTTCAGTTGTGTGTGTGTTTTTTTTTTTTGCGTCGTGTTTTTGCCCTTGCATTGTTTTCATTTTTCATGTGTTTTTTTTTGCATTGTGCTTTTGCCCTTGCATTTGTTTTTGCATTTTTCATTTGTTTTTTGCATTACATGTCGCATTTTTAAACATTGCAGTTTTCTAGAATAAGCCCACAAGGCGCCCACACAACTCTAAAGGAACACATTTTGCAGCACCCTCCTACGCATTCAGGAAAACAGGGTTACCATGTTCTTGAGGGTGCAGTTGGGTTCGTGGGTATTAACCATTGTGTTTGTTGGGCTATCGGGCCACGGGGCCCGTAACTCTGCTGTTCAACTTGTTACACCACCTATGAGTGGAGTGGAGCAGCTTATGCCACCGCGCACATGCCGCCGCCTTGCCGCCGCAAGCCGCCTTGCCGAGGCATCGAAGAATGTCTTCAGGGCCCGGCCGATCAAGTACACGTTTCCCTGCCTCTGGGACTTGGGCAGGGCCACCGCCCACCATGAAAACCATCCGTTAACCTCATTGATGGATCGATGAGGTTCGGCAGAGGAAATTTGCATTTTATTTAGGCCAACCATTGGTTTTGGATGGCTTTGGGTGAAACATCTTGAAATATGGAGAACCTGAGGCAGGAATGGACTAACTTGTGTTCGGGTGTTCTATACATATTCAAGAACGTAGGACTTAAAAATTCAGGTGAGAACCTTCATTTGTTGTTCAAGTCAAGTAGTGTGGAAAACCATCAAACAAATCCATCCCCGGCCATAATCCCTGGAGCGGGTCACTGGCCGAATAACATCTCATGACCCGCGAATTTTTGGGTCGGATATGGCGGAATAATGAAGACATATGGAACATGTTCATCGAACGATGGATTCGTATACTTTGAAAGATCAATGGATTTCGATTGGATTTTTCATTAGCAGCGTACCAAAGGGTATAACCGCCACATAGCTACGAATACTCGCATGGAATACTCACAAGATTCACGCAGACTCAGGTGAGACTTTCGGAATACCCGGGAAACTATGTGCCCTTGAAAAGAGCAGGCAAAATCGATAGTCGATAAAGACGATAAAGAATGGGTGGCCAGGGAATATGACATGACAAGTTGTGGTATCCGTGGCCTCGTGTGCATAGAACCGCCAGCCTGAATGCTAGAATAGGAAGAGGTCAAAGCAATCCCTTTGAACATATCGATTATACTTGTCGCAATCTGGCGCAATTAATTATTAATTATTTAACTAGTTCCATCAAATTCCATCATACATAAATTCACATCTGTGGTTCACAAATCTTCTGATTAGCATTGAGCCAAGTAGCATGTCCCGAGCCATGTCCAAGGCAAGAAGAGGCACTTGGACATGCTTATGCCAGAAGCTGCTCGCCCGTGGGATGGTGGGAGAGATTCAACATAGATACGTTACCACAGGATTCATATGGACCATGAAGTAAATATGGATTATAATATGGAAGAATACCCCCATCAGAATACAAAACGAGTTGATACTCATGGTAGTTGTGATTCGTTACTTTGGTGGTAGAAGGCCACAAAAAATAGCAACTGTTTTTTTGGATGACTAGCGTGAAAAAGTAGTTCTCGGCCAAAACGCCTACTTTTGCAGTTTTCTCATGGTTTCCATCTGTTTCCATTTTGTGCTGCGCATCCAAACTCTCGTTCATTTAGATCCAAACCGTCTAGTGTGGGCCATCATGTTTGAACGAAATGATGCAATTCAATGACGGCACCAAATCGAGAGGGTCAACCACCTACCTGGTCATTCGGCTCTGAAGTGTCGCAATGTCCATTTTTGTGTGCGATGTGCCGTTTGATGCGAAAACTCGCGCTTACAAAAAGATCAAACACGCCCTCAAACACGTTCAAAACCTCTATATAATTACAAAAGCCATCAAATGAGCGTTCTTCCTTGCTTTTGGCATACTTATCATTGAATTAAGTCTTTGAAAGAAGCATGGTCGTGATGGTAAGTTTGAACACTGTGTGTGTATGTGTGCGTGCATCACCATGCGGATGGGGTCGCACGACTTATTTAGTGTGAGTGAGACTATTCGAAAAGCGAGGCTTTTTCTGTGACCAACTGACCAACTTCTATCATCATGCAATGAAGGGAGTCAGCGGCTGACAGAAAATCCGAGGTTGCAGTACAGGGCGTAAAGTTCGCGACGTCTACTTTGGGGTTCACAATCGCATGGTCAAAGATTTCACCTGGAAGGTCCCTGAAATGGTGGTTGTTGATCCACATGGTTTCTCATAGGGATTGCGATAGCTAAGCTATAACTTATCTCTGAACTCCATTGAACTCCTTTGAATCCAAGCAGTATTGCCTTGAGCCTCTTGAAGATGTCTGGATGCGATGCAGGTTTGATCCGCGGATACCTGGACGATATGGCTGAACCCAAAGAAGATCCACAACACGTTGTGCACCTGTTCCTCTGAATGGACGAGGTTAGGGGCTGGTAGTCAAATCCAACCCCACCTCCTGAATCCTTCAAGCGCCCGTCAAAAATGAATCTCTCATGATTTCAACCAAGATGTCCTTTGAGAATCTCTTATCTCTGTGAGTTTGTGGTTGGAACCACCTTCGAGGTCATCAAAATCTTCGAACAACATGTGTTGATAAGGACTGATTATTTCGATGGTCGCTGCAGGGCCTCCCAAATTTCAAGTTCGTTGTGTTTAGGTGCTTCAAGAGCCGCCCTCACCAGGGGACATGGCCAACGTTCAGTGGTCATTTTGGAGCCTGAGCTGGCTTAAGGTGAGTTGGCTTTGCCGCACAAATAATGATGTGTTTGATCAAACTGTTCTGCACACATGATTTGCTCAATGCTTTACGCACCACAGCCGCTCAGCGTGTCAATTTCAATTCACTTGCACGTGTGTCAAGCATATTTGCACGGAATTTTGGGCCACCAGGGTTTTCAATGCGCTAGGGCCATGAGACGGAGCCTCTGCTCCAACATTCCTCAAACACCGATGCTCACAACGGGGAATTGTTCACCGTGTTGGATAGTCAGCACTGTGTCCCAGGTCCCCCTGGGTCCTGCGGGTTGGTGCTTGGGAATGCCCCATGTTGTTTCATTGAACCGGCATGCTCCCTCTCAAACATGGCTAGCTGAGAAATCTTCAGAAATGGAGGCTTTATAATGGGAGATACAGTAGAGATCTATAGAATTCTATAGATGTGAAATTGTCCATCGCTATGTTTGACTGCCGGAAAGTATGTCAGTGAACAGTTCACCTGGTGTGAGGACAGTGTGTTGTCTCATGCAGTTTGCTGAATGGGTTCCACAAAAGGCTGGCGGCCAACGCCCAAGCTGCATAATGGATCATAATAGAGTACCCCTTCAGGCACAGTTATTTTTGAAGCGCCTTGTCCTGGAGTTCCACAAAACATGGAGAACTCCTGTGGGCAATCGCAGTTTATATCTTGGCCCGCCCTGGCGACTTTTACTGAAGGCATTAAGCGGCAGTGGAAGATGCTGAGAGATCTGAGTGTTCATGTAGGGAAGGGTTGAAAATATCAACGAAGAAAGCCACTGACATTTGGTTCTATCTTGTTGGTAGGAACCGTGCAGTTGTCAGCAACTGAAAGTATGATAAGCATGGTTCCTGCTCGCTCCCATACCATAACCGTAACCCAGATGTACCCGGCCTGGCCGTATGTACCCTTAAAGTAGCCGACTTTCCCGACTAACACTTTGAGGTTTTCAGCGGAAAAATCGTTCTAATAACTTGACGAGTTTGTGCTACTCGTACCAGTCACGAGCTGCATGATGTAATGACCCATGGCAGCTTTGATGGGATGATACTCCTCAATGATTTTTATATTGTGCTTGATTTGCTGCAAAAGTAATTGTGTTTTGATCAAACTGTTCTGCACATATGGTTGAGCCAATGCTTTACGCACCACATGCCGCTCAGCGTCTCAATTTCAATTCACTTGCATGTGTGTCAAGTACAGAATTTTGGCACAGAAGTTTGGCCCACCAGGGTTTTCAATGCGCTAGGGCCATGAGACGGAGCCTCTGCTCCAACATTCCTCAAACACCGATGCTCACAACGGGGAATTGTTCACCGTGTTGGATAGTCAGCACTGTGTCCCAGGTCCCCCTGGGTCCTGCGGGTTGGTGCTTGGGAATGCCCCATGTTGCTTCATTGAACCGGCATGCTCCCTCTCAAACATGGCTGGCTGAGAAATCTTCAGAAATGGAGGCTTTATAATGGGAGATACAGTAGAGATCTATAGAATTCTATAGATGTGAAATTGTCCATCGCTATGTTTGACTGCCGGAAAGTATGTCAGTCAACAGTTCACCTGGTGTGAGGACAGTGTGTTGTCTCATGCAGTTTGCTGAATGGGTTCCACAAAAGGCTGGCGGCCAACGCCCGAGCTGCATAATGGATCATAATAGAGTACCCCTTCAGGCACAGTTATTTTTGAAGCGCCTTGTCCTGGAGTTCCACAAAACATGGAGAACTCCTGTGGGCAATCGCAGTTTATATCTTGGCCCGCCCTGGCGACTTTTACTGAAGGCATTAAGCGGCAGTGGAAGATGCTGAGAGATCTGAGTGTTCATGTAGGGAAGGGTTGAAAATATCAACGAAGAAAGCCACTGACATTTGGTTCTATCTTGTTGGCAGGAAAATGTAGGAATCGCGCAATTGTCAGCACCTGAAAGTGTGATAAGCATGGCTCCTGCTTGCTCCCATACCATAGCCCAGATGTACCCGGCCTGGGGTATACCGTATATGGTGCAAGGCCCTGTCCACCACCTGTGTTTGTTGGTTTTATTACGCTCTGGCTCGATCCTTCGTTATTCTACAACTCTGCACTACCACAATTCTGCACTATCACTTTTCTTGCGAACATTATGTTTTATCCAAATGATCAACAGGATGTCGCAAGGTCAGTAACATCTAAAGCCTAGGATGGCGCTGCATCACGACCATGTCACGCTTTAATGGTAAACCTTCTCACATAATTAAACGTCACTGGGCCAAACCTGAATCCTCAAATATATGAAAAAAATCTGCCCTCTGCTGACCATAGGTGAATGATGCGAACCTTTGTCCCCGCATCTGGCCTGGGTGAATTCCCACAACCTCAAAACGATCTCATTGTAAATTAGTTTAAGGAACATTAACCTCAAGATTATGAACATGTTCATTTTACTGTCGGAAATATTTTAATATGCCCATATGCCCACACTGATTGAATGTCATGTCATTTGGTATAGGTTTGCTTAATCATAGGGCACCCTGGCTTCAGATGGTCATTTTAGGGTGGGTGTAACATGTTATATCATTATTTTGGACTTCAATCCATCTAATGCAATGTAGGCAAGTAGAACTCAGCCGTTGGTCCACTGCACAGCTTCGAAGTCCCACAACTCATCATATCGCCATGAGCAGTCACCGGGATGGGTCGGACACAAAACCTACGAAACACACAGGATGGAGAGGTCCATGTCACCCTGCGGTGCCAAGGTTTTTTGTTTCCATGTTTGACCCATACCCGCTTTAAAGTAGACTGTGAACATGGCGGCAAATCAGAAAAAACAAAGACCAGATGAGTGAATAAAAATTTTTTGGCGGCAGTCAGAGATGCAAAGCTTTGGATCGGGTGCCTTCTTCGTTCGAGCCCAAGCGACCGACAATGTCGTGCCAGGCCATTTTTGTGTCTTTGTCCATGACAGATGCACCTGCAAGATGGGTGTAGTAGAACTTGGTAACAGGTCGGACCCCAAACGAGAGCTAAGTCGATGTATGTTTTATTTATATATATATATAGATAAATATATATATATATATAAGTTATTTACACATATAAATAGATATTTTTTTTATGTATCTAATTGTTTTTGGTGAACATATATTGGTTTGAATCCAACTGAAGCAGATATATCTTCATGGTTATTTTATGACTGATGTGGATGGGTACAGAGCAGCCAAACCTCATGACCGTCTCTGAAGCGTGTCGCCGTCTTGATGGTCAACATGTTGTATAGGCGGGGGTCAAAGCAATAATATAGGGGGGAATCAAAAAAAAAAGGGATAGTATGGAATAGTAATATAGCAATCATGATACTAGAAAAGGCTGTTTTGCCGGTTTTATTTGATTAGATATGTTGCGTGAACAGGTAGAAGAGGATCCCCCAAAATGGCATACTCGCGAAAGGGACATAAGTTTGATGAAATTTCATTCACGTGGATGCAAAAAATTTGCCCAGCAAATTCAGACGTCAAATGTCGTCCCCATGAATCTGACCATGAATCGCCATGACCATGACATCCAATGACATGACTCCCAATGACCAGAATCACGTATCACCATGAATCGCCAGGTCATGACATGTTTGGAGTTGAATTCCTGTGGCGCCATGGCGGGCTCTAGGTCGGCCAGCAAGTTGCAGGCTCGAAATGCGGAATGCCACCTGAAGATTTTAGGTATAAGTTAGATATGGATAGATATGGACCACATTTATTTATATATATAATAATAAATATATATAATATATATATATAATATATATATACATATATAAATATAAATATACAATATATATTTATATACATATATATATATAAATATACAACATATATTTATATACAATATATACAATATATATATATATATATTTCATTATCTATCATTTACAATATATATACATATATACATATTTTTAGTATATATACAACACTGACCCTATGGATCCAACTACCTGATTTCAGGTACAGCTAACCCCCGAAATCAAGCCCCAGTCATACTTCAGAAGCTACGGCTGGATCCACCTTTCGGCAGATTCAGCTCTACCTCTTTGCCGTCCTTGCCATCCTTGGTGGCTGCGATGACGGAGCGGGGCGTTCTTTGAGAGTGGAAACCAATATCCATTCATCCTTATCCAGTGGAATGACATAATATTCCAATCCGTAAACCAATCCTTAAACTAGTTCTAGAATGTTCTAGATCTATGTTTCTCTTACACATGTTTTCTATCCTGTCCATACTCCATGATCCCAAGTGGAGAGTGGCGCGATGGGTTGAAACTGCATCATGGCTTGTTGCTAGGTCAAACGATGGGTAAGTTGGTAGTTGAACATGGGCTAGGTAGAGCAGATGTTTGTTTATTATATCTACAGAGCAGCTTGGGTTTTCCCGTTCTCCTTGCTGGATAGCAAAACAAAGGAGCATGGCTCCAGATGGTACCCTATGGTAATCAAACGTGGCAGTGGAATATACACTTATACATGATTTTCAGTCATTTTCCCATTAAGACTTCCATTGAACATATAGATTTTCAATTGCCGTGTTTGATTACCAGCTGGTGTGATGTAACACTGGGTCGCTTCGCCGTGTGGTGGCAAGATCTCCATGGAGATTGGGTGAAGCATTGGATTTTGACGATCCAAGCTTGGCAACGATCCAATGTTCCAAG